AAACTATTCAGTCTATCTCCCAACTGACCATCACATACAAATTCATTAATTCCTTTAATTTATTTGTAAACTTGATACTATTACAGTCGCTTATAGCCGAATCGGCCATTTAAATTTTTTGGAGATATGGCGGTAAATTTTTTTGTTGAAAAGTCTAAACAATATACATTTTGATCGGTGATTGGAGTCAAGTTATATTCGTCTGAGGTTCCGTTAGACCCGCTATAAATATGCCATCTTCCTTTCTGATCAATGGCTGAATTTAAACCGCGTCGCCCATTCGGTGAATTTTCAAAGCTAAGGAGTGAATACAGATTTTCCATTACATCGTATTGGACAATATCCGGGTTTAGTTGCTTTCTCTGGATAAGGGAATCAAAGTTTTTAATACATTAATATAAATTCGATTGAATTTTCATTTTTTATTAATATAATTTTACTTTTGAGACGCCGCCAAAATTAAAAATCTTGGTGCCATAAACAACAGAAGTTCCCATGCAACAGGTTCATTAAATAAAGCCGCGTTATTGATCTTTATAACATCGGGAATGGTATTCACAGAAAAATTGCTGAAAGGTCTAGGACAAGCATATCATAAAGAAAGGTATCTGCATTTTTTCCAACAACTAAATATATTTTTTGGTCTACAAGATTCGCTGTATAGAAGTGCTTGTGTCTGTGTGACCCTCCCTAACTTTACCCCCTAGCTTCAAAACAAATTTCACGTGTTTTAATGTTTCAAATCTTCCACTTGCCTGACATGTCTAAATACACATCAAAAATATTGGCAGAACCGCAAACTGTGTTTTTATTAATATTCAATGTTTTTATGAGGTGAAACTATAGCTTTTTTCTTTCGCAACAGAATAACCGATTTTTTCCTAAGTTTGTATTATCAACAAATTTCATATTTACACCCACAATTAACGATACATTCCGATATCTCCTTACTCATCAATTTCTCTCTCATTTCCAACCTTATCTTGTTTGTCTTTAACTGGACAGCATGGAAGATAACACTGCACGAGACATCCCGCAGTTCGTTATTTAAGACAATTGCTTTAAAAATCAAAATTTATTGTATTTAGGTTTTTGTTTGGAATTCCTTACCGGAAGATTTGAAACGGTTCTTTCTCAGCGTTATACATATTTAATAGAACATTTCAATGAGCTGCCGCCATACAGTACACAGAAAAATTTTGTATTAGATGCGTTTGTGGACATTAATAGTAAAGAAGAAGCATCTGAATGGTTTGCATATTTTCAATCCTACTCAAAAACGACAATGCCAGAAACAAGAGATTATAAACTGGGTTCTTTTTCGAAAGACACATCATTGTATCGATAATCATGTCATGAAGTAAAAAAAGATGATCATGAAATAAACATCCGCAATCATCAATTCATCTGCGGCTAGAGTGTTGGCGAATTGGCTTAAGCTATTCATTGGAATAAATATAAAGTTCACGAATAATCATGTCACTAACTCGGCAGAATCGCTGAATTTTTGGCGAGTCAAGCAAGAGGTTCGTGGAATTATTCAAAGATGGGCACTCTACTGCTTCGGCACTATGCATCTATCTGGATGATTTCCATCTTATTATTACGGGCAATTAGAAATTATTGGAATACTTGCGGATCATGCCAAAAATCCAGATTGTGATTATGTTGTTAATCTCTTTAAACAATATCATGAGACTGCTCTTGGAAATCGTAACAGCAAACAAATGTTTGAACATCAGTCGAAGAATAACTACTCAGGCGGGGGTAAAGCTGCTTTGCAAGAATATGAAGCATGTCTTGAAAAGGCATTATTCTCTGTATTGTAACTGGACAAATGCACCGAGTGCACGAAAAGATTATACAAGCAAGTGAAATATGTTATATTGATGTATCAGCCTCATTCGATTCAAACAATATTTTCAATCACACTTATATATACCAGTTGCGCAGTTGGTGCTCTTTCACTTGGGCTTTTTATTATTTCAAATACGCTTAAAATTATATTGGAAAAAACGATAATTATATAATTTGATTTTACAATATTCAAATCATATTTATGACATTCTAGTGTATAATTTATCTTAAAACAATCTAGTTGAATTACTGAAGATGACACACCATATGCTTTCTTTGGTCATGAACCATAAAGGATCAATGGTCTTCCTCACAAATGATTCAAGTGCAGAACGTAATGCTCTGTAACCATTATGATTCGAAAGAATTGTATCAATAAAGAGAATTGGTATTAATTAAAGATGGGTCCCTAAACTGACGATACTTATTTGTTACCTGTTTCGGCTATAAGATTTTAATACCTAAACTGTCCTAAACATAACCTGAACTGGAAGTATTAATTATGTAAAAATTAAATAACTACGAATTTGTAAAATTTCCTTTCTGAAAAATTACCTATACTTGGTGGGTAACGTATAAAGGTGGAGATCAACTTACATTATCACGGGTGGGTTCAAGCAGAATTTTACCAAACTTCAAAAATATTTTGTGGAATCATCGTTGTGAGTGGACTATATTTTCGCTCAGAATTATCCATGCGTGGAAATAATTATGTAGAACGAAGCTTTGGTATAATTATAGTTTTTGCAAGAACTCAGGCGTATAATGTTGACCATGAATGTGGGGAGGTTTTATAAGAGGTGTTTACTCACATTTGCACATAAACATCCTGGTCATTTGCAAATTGCAAAACGATTTCTCTGTTCTGATTGGGAAACATTAAATATGACTGCTATTCAAGAGACAAACGTGAAGAATAAATTTTTGGTACTGAGTATGAGGCAGGATACTGGTATTTTCTATATTGTAAATAGTGAAATTGGAACGTACACTTGCGCAATTGGTATGTCTGGTACTCCGTGCAAGTATCAAGAAGCTGTTTTGATAAAATTCCGCATTACATGCTTAATTTTATCCCGTCATTAACATCTGATGATCGTATAGTTTAAACTTAAAAGTGCTTGGTAATTAGACTGGATTTTATCAATTTAACTCTTGAATTGAGTGAAATTTTGTTAATTTCAACAATCTGAACAAATATTAGACAAGTTTAGGGAGCGTTATAATTACCAAAGCTTCTTTTTAAAAGAGAGCATAGTTTGTTGGAATTATGCGATCCATATGGCAAAACACCATCACACACAAATTATTTATAACTAATATTACATACGTTTTGGTGTGTTTGAGTACAATCAGCTTCACCAAACTTTCTTTTTCAAACAAGCTTAGCTCGTTTAGATTCTAACAGTCAAGGAACATCATTTCTAGAGATTGAACCCGGGTGAGTTAACCCACCGGTTAGTTCCTTCCTTAGGCCAATCTAGTTCTTTATTATGATGTTCAGAATCCAATTCGTTTATTCTATCCAAATTAATAATCTTCTTTTATTTTTACAACGTGTGATGTAAAATGTAATAATGTTCGATTTTGATAAATTGGCTCAAAATTCAAGATCCCAAAAGTCCAAATCTTCGCCAGAAATAAATAGTCGGATTAATGCTCCTTCGGGATCTTAAATTTTGAGCCAACTTTATGAACATTGATATGTAGGTAGATTTTGTAGAGTAGAATATTTTTTAACCCAAATTTGGTTTTTATCTTGGAAAAAAAGTTCTGTGGTCAAAATCTATTAATTGAAAAATTCGACTTAAATCACTCAATTTCACAAATGTTATAATAATCTTTTGACAAATTATTTTTAATATACTAGTGTTTCCAAGGTTTAAAATGAATACTTGTTTATTTTGTTTGAATTAATACATGTATTGATGGATAAAGTTTTTATCGAGTACATGTACATGTATTATTTTCTGTTTATACGTGTACATGTATTAATTATGACCACCGCTGCGTACGTATAATGTAGTTGTACAAATGTTTTCTATTGATGATAACTCTTTGTTTAAGTTCCTTATTTATACATGTATTTAGATAATGATTTTACAGTTAACTTTAATCTTTTCCTCCAGTTTAGTTTTATAATTATGAATAGAAAAATGTTATCAATTTCAATAATATGTTTATACTCAATGTTTGTTATTTCAATGTCAAGCGCGTACTCTCTTGAAAAATTAGTTAGCGCAGAGCCTGGAGTATTAATTGACAACAAGATTATTATCTTCGATAGTTACGACTTTCCAAATGCTACTACTGCATTTTCCTTGGATCTTTCTAAAGATTGGACAACATTTACACCAGAATTCACAGAGATCGGTAATTTAGTTTCTGCACCGCTGTTTTTCTTAACAGCTTTTAGCGCACAGAAAAAAGATAGTCACTCAGTAATATATGCTTTTGGTGGGAGGATTGTAAGTTTATGCAAAATGGATGCTCAATTTTTTTGAAAGTTTTTAAACTATCATTTTTAATATATTAATAGCCAATAAACGGAAATTTTTCGGATTACACTTACACAAAAGACTTCTATGAAATTGATGTCAACACTTCGTCCTTTTCATTTTCGCCTCTGAATTCTTTACCTCAAGCTCGAAGCTCCATGTCTTCAGTCAGTGATGACAAAGGAAAACTTTATATATGGGGTGGATATACTCATTATATAGATAAAACTATGTATATATTTGATACTTTTGATTCAACTTGGAAACAAATTCCAGATCAAAGACAAGCTTATTCTTCGACATTTAATGATGGTAAAATTTATTATATTGGAGGCGCCTATCGAAATGACAAAGTCGTTGATATTCGAGAAGTAAATTAAATTTATTTCTATTTTATATGTAAAGTAATATTACTTATATATTTTACTTTTAAAGATATTGATTTATGATACGCTCAATAATACTTTTCCGTGGTCTTCAAAAGTGAGTGTAATCAAGTAAAATCAGTACTTAAAGTCAATATTAATTTTTATCTTTTTTAATTGATGAAAAGATGGCAACAAATAAAACAACGATTAGTAACCGTATTTTTCATTCAGCAGTTCTTGGTAAGAGAATATTTACGAATATATTTCGATTACATAAAATTAAACTAATCTTTTCATTCATATTAATTTTAGCTCCTGATAATAGAAGTATTATTATATTTGGTGGCAGAAAAAATTTCGCATATTCAACAAGTAGATCAATAGATGTTAATTTATACGATTACTTGATTACTTTAAATCTTGAAACATTTGAATTGTCCGAGCTTAAAACTCTAAGCAAACCTAGCATTTATGATATACCAACATGTCATACGGCTATTATATATAATAATTTCATGATCGTAGCTCTCGGTAATTATCTTATTTTATTAATGTTATTATTTAATGTGGAAAAGCAATAATTAATTCTTAGTTTTGCAATTTAAGGCGAATATTTCACTAAAGATCCTACTCGAAAACTTATAAAACTCTTGGATTTATCTCAAAATGATTATATCTGGGTTGATAAATATACCGCTCCAACCTCACCTCCACCAATAACCTCACCTCCACCACCACCTCCACCTCCACCACCATCTCCATCTCCATCTCCATCTCCAACAGCGCCAATTAAAATAATAATCATAACAATAGGATCACTTGTTTTTGTGGCAATTGTGATATGCTTTATATTTATTTATCGTAAAAAACATAGAAATGAACAATTTGCTATCAATAATAACAGTAATATATTGCAAACTCAACCAAATACAGCGTTTGGTTACACTTACGCTCACAATGATCCTACAACTAGTTATGTTTCTTCTTTAGCGTTCAAGCCTTCATCACAGTCTCTTTAAATTACTTTTATATATTAAATATCATATATATTTTTTGGGGTGTTTTTAGATTGGAAACTTACGGGAAGTGATTATTCAAATATAAATTAAATAAATATATGCAGATATAATCTATGAAAACCTAAATTTTAATTGATAATAACCAACAGATTTAGGTTTATTTTTTAATCTTTCAAGTTTGTTACCATTAAGTTATTTGATCATAATAGTATTCCTAATTACTTCTTATACTAATATCTAATACAAATATGTTGAGATTATTTGACTATTAGCTCAAAATTATATACAGTGCCCTAAATATAATGGAAATATTTTTGATACAATAACTTGAAGATGAATGAACAAATATGTTCTGTCACTTTAAGCTTATATGCTTATCATATTATTAAGTAAATTTCAAAATATACAGCCGAAATACATCCGATATCTTATTTGCTCAAATACAATCCCTGCGAAAAATAATGGTGATGGAAGTACTATGCATTGCTTGAACATAGAATCGTAATTTTCCTAATTTACGTAGCATACGTTTTATAATACTAAATTGAGCTCTATAATGCTCCTACAAAAACTAATGGAAAAAATGGAGCTTAAATTTTTTAGAAAATACAACTTAATAATTTGCCCCTGAATAAACAAAATATTTGATCTTCATTTTCTCACCAGCCAAATCAAATTAAAACAAAATACCATTATTAAATTTCTCTTAATGTTGAAATTCAAATAACGGTATTTTCAAACTTATTGATCTCTGAATAGAGTTGTCAATGGAGCAGCATACTCCGGGTTAGTTCTGGGTTACTATGCAGTTTCTAAATTTCACTCCGCTCCAGAGTCATGATTATATAAACCCACTTCATGTTCCACATGGAGCGGCCCGGAGCTAAATGAATATTTATTTTAAAAATAGCCAAATGAATGAGATTAGAATATTCCTGACGCGAAATCACTGATTTTCTAAGGTAATGAAAACAGATTCGAAAATATAGTATTTGGATATTATTGGTGTTAGTTTCGTTATGACAAAAGAGAAAAAGACAAAAATTGTAGGACCAAGCGGATATGGGTAAATAAATTCATGGTTATTGATTTTAAATTGACTTTTATTATAATTATAAATTTTTGATTTTTGAAATATGAGTATGAAATTTCTTTATTAATAAAAATAGTTTATATAGTTTCATCCAATAAAATGAATTACATGTGACTTTTATAAATACTCCGGCGTATCTGGGCAATATTTGGAGCAAAACCAAAACAATGAACCAGGAGTGGGTTCAATTTAATTGACCTCTTGCTCCACTATAATATAAATTCAATTTACTTCATTCTATCACTGAATAATAAGTAATATCTGTATATTTTTAATTCATTTATTCAAAGCAATCTCATTATGCAAATACTGTATAAGATATAAATATATTATTTAAATCACATCATTAAAAAAATTCAATAATGATAATTTTATTTTAATTTGATATTTGGCTAGCAAGAAAATGAAGTAACATTGAAAAATACAATATTTAGCAAAAGTAAATAGTAATAATAATACAACTTTTATCGTCAATGGTCTGCATAAATATCTGTTCTAGGTCTGTTATATGCATATTCATGAATATTTATCTTTATCGTTATACTACAAGGCATCAAATACGTAAACATTATATTTATACAATAAATCGAAATGGTTATGAAGGCTGCTCTTTTAAAGCCGGTCCAGCTGATAACTACATAGTTAACCAGGTATAATATACAAATAATGATATAATCTTATAATCATATTTGATTGTAGAACAATCAAATGCGAAACTTTATTTATTATTGCATCACGAACAAATTTATAATGCCGTTTTGTCTAGTAGAAATAAAGGTATCGACAGTCTAGAGCTTTTAATACAAAGCATAGTTGCACAATTACAGCGGGCGAGATCACGTAGGAAATAAATTTAAACGAAGTAATGAATACAAAGAAGAAGTTGTGTTGAAAGTATTACAATTTAAAGCAAATTACATCAGTTTTATAAGTGAGGTAAAAATGAATCATTCTAAAGTGTATGTATGATTTTTTGTTTCTATGGTGTAGAACTCTTAATTTGACAATATGTTTCATGTTGAAGATTCTATCAACTTCTTAACTAGAAGTAAGTCCGAAATTTAACCGGTAATATTATAGAAAAAGACTTTCTTGATAATAATACCGGTCAAATTTTGGATTTACTTCTTATGCAAGAAGTTGATTCAGACTGCTCTAAAGTGCACTGATGGTTATTGTCGTTATCAATATTATGGAATACAGTACATAATCGATATCTATATGCAAAATGTGGCGGTCTGCAAATATTGAACTGTAACATGTATACAGTATTAATTTTGGGTAATTTTTCAATTGCTGACTTTGAACTCACTGATCCAGCTGATATAAAAAATACAATAATAAAATTTATGGAGTACTTCCATATATGAATAAAGAGTGCTAAACTAAAAGCCATACACACAAAAGCTATATGAGATTGCAATAGGCGAATGGCCATTCGGTCAGGATTAAGTACTTTCATTTCAGTACTACAGTCATTTAAAGGATAAATAAATTGAAAGTGTCTTAATCTAGAAAGACAAATTACAACTGATACAAATACTTTCTACTTCTAAATATATAAATCACGTTGACTAGATGAATCCAATGGTGATATCTTTGTTTGATGGGATCACTGGATGTTGAGATATCGGGGCTTCAAAGTGAGAAATTCATTTTTGTAATTACCAGTAATATATCACATGAAATCAAAGAACACTTTATTAAATTAAATCGACAATAATCATATTTTTTATGTTCTTGAAAGTTAAATCAATATTAACTGCTTCTCGAATTAAGCACAATGCCTGAAACTTGTTTCTATTTTTTATTAACTTCTTAGTATTTACACGTATATCTATTATTGTTCTTTCTAAAATACATTTATTTTATTTTACTCTTATAACATAAAAGCAATCATTTCGTTTAT